GGGACTCCAGGATCATGACCTGAGCCGAAGGCAGTCGCTTAACCAACTGAGCCACCCAGGCGCCCTTGATGTCATATTTAAGAAACCATTGTCTAATCTCAGGTCACAATGATAATTGTGTTTTTTTCTAAGAGTTTTTTAGTTTAACATTCCCTTATGATTAGGTCATTGAACCATTTTGAATTTGCCAAAAATGCTTTATAAATTACCTATGTCCTAGAAAAGAAATCTGGACACTACTGCATGTGAACCTATATTTGACCACATCTTAAATGTATACTCAACAAAAGAAAACATCAAGTAGCCTTTGACTTAATTACCCCTGTGATTTTTTGGGGGGGAACCAAAATAATGATTTAATTTATGTCAAATGTGTGTCTTTCCTTTAAGTAATGTGCAGGTTTTAAAACTGATTTAATTTCAAAATCCAAACAGTTCAATTTTATATTTATACAATTAAAAAGTAAGACTTTCTTTCAACTCACAGTATTGCTTAGCAGATATGAGCATTATGGGAAATATCTTGTATATCGTTCCTGATATGTGTGTGTATTCTAATATCTAGTGAATCATTGTATGAATGCACCATAACTTAGAAGTCCTCTGTCGATGGGCATTTAGATTGTTTTCAGTTTTTCTCATCAGAAGCAGTGCTTTAGAAAACATGTACTCTTGTGAAATTGGTGGATCAAAACATTTGTATGTTTTAAATTTTGATGAATATTGCTAAAATTATCTTACCAAAAATTTGTGCCATTTACTCTTCCTAGATGTTTCATGTTAACATTCTATTTTGTACTTATCATACTATAAAGGAGCTCTTTGGAAATTATGCTGTCTCTTAGCTGTTGATCATTAAAATGTTTCCTTAATACATTAAGTAATGTTTAAAAGCATTAAATGTAAGGAAATGAAATTTTCCAAAAAAATTCACTTTAGTGAAAAATCTAATTTTTTGAGGATGAAAGAATCTTGTCACATATTTGCTGATTCCTTAAGAACTTCAAAACAAAACTGTACTAGGATAGAAAACTTACTAATACAGCCTCAGGAAAACAAAAACACTAATTCAAGAAGATACATGCACGCCTTTGCTTATTGTAGCATTATTTACAATAACCTAGATATAGAAGCAACCTAAGTGTCCATTGATAGATGAATGGATAAAGAAGATGTGGTGTGTGTGTGTGTTTAAATATGTATAAACTTAATACATAAAATAAAATATACAAAAAGCATATATAATTATATAATAGACACACGATGGAATGTTACTCAGCCATAAAAAGGAATAAGATCTTGCCCATTTGTGACAAAATGAGTGGACCTAGAGAATATTATGCTATGTGAAATAAGTCAGAGAAAGACAAATACCATATGATTTCCCCTATATGTGGAATCTAAAAAACAAAACAAGCAAACAGAAACAGATCCATAAATACAAACTGGTGGTTGCCAGAGGGGAGGGGGCAGGGGGATGCGCGAAATGGGTGAAGGGGATTAGGAGGTCTATGCTTCTAGTTATAGAACCAGTAAGTTAGGGACGCCTGGGTGGCTCAGTCAGTTAAGCATCTGCCTTCGGCTCAGGTCATGATCCCAGGATTCTGGGATCGAGCCCCATGTCGGGCTCCCTGCTCAGTGGGGAGTCTGTTTCTCTCTCTGCCTGCCGCTCCCCCTGCTTGTGCGCTGGCTCTCTCTCTGAAAAATAAAAATCTTTAAAAAAAAAAAACAAACGAGTAAGTCACAGAGATGAAAGGTACAGCATAGGGAATATCCTCAGTGGTATTATAATAGCATTATATGGTGACAGATGGTAGCTACACTTGTGGTGAGCATTTCATAATGTATAGAGTTGTCAATTCACTATGTTGTACACCTGAAACTAATGTACATTTTACTTAATGTACATTATACTTAATAAATAAAATTTTGTATATATATGTTCTGCTTTTAAAGAAGTCGTATTCTAATTTCATAGTAGCCATTTCAGAATTACTCTAGGGTAACCTTCATACTTACAACTAAAATATTGATTTTTAGAATTTTTTAGATTGACAGTTAAGTGTGCCCCAAAGTTTTAATAAACAAAATGTCACCATTAGTGAACCTGCCAGGAGCTAAAAAAAGAAAATTGTCCTGTTAAGTGTATCAGTGTTCTAAGCCTTTATATTTCCTATTGTTATTTTGTATGAATAGTTGTTTTTAAAAATCTGTTTCATTCTTATAATTCTTGTAACCTTCCAACAAAACAAGTTGGTTAAGGAAGTGGATATATATATATTACTGTTCTAGATTAAGAAAAAGGAATACAGAAAGACTGTGTTTATCAAAAAGGACACAAATGAAAGAGAACTCAGATTCTTAAGTATTTTAACTACAAATCTATACATCATTCTTTTACTGATTAACAATACTGACGCTTTTATAAAAAGTAACATTTTCCTTGACTTATATATCTAAATTTTAAGAAACACTTCTGTCATGAAGTCCTCAAATACATTTTTGAAAATGCCCTTTGCTCATGGGTTACCCTGGAACTTCACACATCTTACACTGCTATGCAATTTTGTCCAAAAACACCTGCACCAATGATTTATTCTTTGTTCATTCTAAGGTTTAGTGCAGAGTTGTAATTAAAATCTAACTTTATTTAAATGAAAGAAAAAAATTTAAATAAAGTAACATTTTCTTAGCATTTGACCAAGTAAAGTAATATTCCTTTGGGAATATATCTTTCCTTAACTGGAAAGTTTTACTTTTTTATTTGTTTACAAAATGAGCTAATATTTACATAATTGAATATTCTTTTTATAGTAGAATAGTCATTGTCAGGTTGTGACGATGCTATAGGTTTGGTTTAATAGCATTGTGTAGATAAATGCAGTTTGTATTTCAGTAGTTAATGGTTTCAGCCTTCACTTAACTTGATTATTTGTTATAGAAAAAATTATCCATCTTGAGTCTTGCCTAGTTTTATCTTACTCCATTTTTCTCTCTGACAGTGTTTCTGAAAACTCTGAAATGACAAAGCTCAGAGTAAAAACAGTAAATAGTGAAAATAAGTTGTAAATAAACTAAGAGTATAGGAATATATTGGTACTTTTTCTTAGCCTTGCAATCTTGCCTATATAAGAACAAAATATTTTAAGTGATTAATATATAGAATTTTACTCATTGAACTTTGTTAGTAGGCAGATTGGGAAAATGGAGTAAGATTTATCTTTACAGCCGAAGCAGAGTAGGGAGGGTCCGCTGTGACAGAAGCCCTGAGGCCATGTAATCAGCATGACATCAGCTGCACTAAGCTGTAGGTTCTTTATTTGTAAGGAGGCTGAAAAGAGCTCTACGGTCTCTTCGGGTCTAAAATATATGTTTCTGTGATTATAGTTTCATTTCTATTTCTTATTTTTGCCGCGCAGAACAATGCATTAGAACCAAGCCAAATTATGAGTCGTCCTACATAGATGGATACCAAAACAGTAGAATTGTTTTGGGTTACATTAACATCCTTTATGGAATAGTAATAGAATAAATGTCTTTATTAGAAATTTTGGGTAATCTGTAAAGGAAGTGGAAAACATGGTTCTGTTCTGATCTCTAAAAAATATAAAGAATGAACAGACAGAAAAATCTCTACCTGCGAGTATGCGATTCTGCTTTTCCTACTAGCAAGTCCGAGTGACTTCTTGCAGTTCGAGCACTTCGCGCAGCACATGTTTGTTGGATGGGTGTCTGCCTGGGCCAGACACGGTGGTAGGCGCTGGGGACTCCCCTACCCTCGAGGAGCGTTATGGGAAGGGCTAGCCTCGGGTACCTACAGAGAGCTATGGAATTTGTAGGACAGCTTATCTTTCCTTAGTGGCTAGAAGGAAACTTCTCGCTCAGTCGAGGCAACGTACAGAAATCGGAGACTGGTGTCTTTATTGTCTGAAGCCCGGCCGTGGCGAGGTGGTCGTGGAAGGTGGAAGGCCGGGCCGTGCGGCGTGCCGCCTCCCCTGTAGGCCTTTTGCTCGTGCGCCCTGGCGCCCCCACGCGTGACGCCTCTTTCTCTTCCAGCCCGTGGAGATCCCGGACGGCCGGAGGGCCCCGCTGCCCGCCCACTGCCGGAGCAGCAGCACGCGCAGCATCGACACCCAGACGCCCTCGGTGCAGGAGCGCAGCAGTAGCTGCAGCAGCCACTCACCTTGTGTCTCCCCCTTCTGTCCCCCCGGGTCCCAGGACGGTAGTCCTTGCTCAACAGAAGACTTGCTCTATGAGCGTGATAAAGGTGAGAAGGGAATCAGCCGCTTAGATAGACGGTTCGTTGTAGGGCCGTGCTCGTTATACTTTCTCCGTCTCAGACCATTACATCCCTTCTTTCCTTTGGTGGAAGGGTGGGATCGTAAAGGATTGGTTAATGTAGGTTCGTTCATTGGCTTCCCGTGCCCCCTTCTTTGTGACTCTCACAAACATCTTCCATAAATGTGTCAGAGGAGCGCAGCGCATGGTTCTGACAGCTGATGAAAGCTATCCCATGGAGTGCACACAGCGTTACACCCTATAACACACAGGGTATTGTCCGAGCTGATGATGCTTGTGGTAGAGGTTATACTGCGCATGCCTAACGGTAGATGTTGTCATCCCAGATCGACTTAGGAGGAAGTAATTTCTAGATACTCTGTTGGAAGGATGGGGATATTTTTAACCAAGTAGGTAAAGTTTGATAAGTACCTACCAGATATCAAGTGTTGGTGGGGTATGTAAAAGAATTGTTAACTAACTCCAACGAGAGTGCGGCACCTCTGGGATTTTTGTTACTTGTCAGGCCTCAGCTGTCTCCCCTGACTCTCCTGTCCCTGTGTCAGGCACCTGGCCACCACTTTACTCTCTCCTTTCAGTTGCTGGCCCCCTCAGACCCAGACACAGAAGGCAGCAAAGATAGCCCAGCTTCTACCTCCCTAGCTACTTCCAAAGAAACACTGAACGTATCACACATTTACTGCTTCTCACCATAGAGAAATCCACCGTAGGCGACCAGACTTTTAAAACTTAAAAAGGTAAAGGTTACAGAATCTTGTAGGATTTTTGTGGTCCTTGTCCTCATTTGACTGTCATTCCCCTTCATTTGTTTTATTTGGAGGTATTATTATATTTAAATGGCCAGATTTTAAGTGCTCAGCCCATTGAATTTTTACATATGTATGCACTCACGAAACTACTACCTAGCTGAAGATACAGAACATTTTTAGCATCCCAGAAGGCTCCCTCGGGCCCCCTTCCCTCTCCATCTGGAAGTAACCACTGTTCTGATTTCCACCACCATAATTTAATTTTTCCATGTTATTGTATTTAACAGAAATGGAATGGTGCATGTGTATTCTTGTGTCTGGCTTCTTTCACTCATCATTATGCCTAACTCTGCTGAGATGTTCAATAGAAGTTACTTTGGACTTTGTCTTCTGCTTTTCTTTCTGTGGTGGATCTCAGCCGTTCTCCGCTTGCTTTTCACCTTTTCCTGATTGACAAGCCTTGTGCACTTCCTGTCTCCATTACGGATGTCTTGAAGGCAGTACCACAGGCATCTCTTTGCTTCAGGTGGGAAGTCCTGATAGATCATAGAATGTCAGACGAGGGAACCTTGATTTCACTGAGGCATCATCCTACTGGTGCAAACACCTTTAGTCACTTCCTCATAACATACACTATGGATGTTTCACAGTTAAACAAACAAGAAGACACCTTGCTTCTCATAGGATTTTGAAGGTCACTGGAAATATTTAAAGAATAGTTATTTGTTTTAGGCTACCCAGGTGGTAAATGGCAAGACAGGTCTGTCTTGATTCCAAAACCTGTATTCTGTGTTTGTTATATGAGTAGAAAGGATAAGTGCAGTTCAGGTTGACCACTCTTGCTATTTATTAGTACGTGTAGTTGGGAAAAGTAAAAAATAGCAGTAATAATAAGGCTAGGCAGTTAATTTCTTTTTTTTTTTTTTAAAGATTTTTATTTTATTTATTTGACAGAGA